GTCATTTGATATATTAAAACTTTGTATTTCTGTTGGTTATAAATAATATTGTATTAATGTCAGAGAGAGAACTATTGGCAATTTGTGAAAGAGGGTGTGACAAGTGGGCATGGCAAGAGGGGTCTGATTTTCTAGTTTATAGTTCTCTCCAGGGGTGGTAAGTAAATTAAAGAAGAAGGAATTGTTAGCTAGGCTTTTATGCCATGTTTATTCATATACCGTAATAGTAAAGTGGTTTAATTAAATTTTGAATGTAACTCAGTAAAACCTCGTGACATATGTAGAAAAGGACACCTGTATGGAAAGAGTTAACCTAGACAGTAATGGCCATGAACTTTTGTGTTAGTGCCAGCCATTGTCGAAAGACAGTAACTTCTTATGATATTGGCAAACAGAAACCACTTTTGAATCATGCTCAGGAAAATAAACACACAGAACTGGCTAAGGTGAAGTTTGGTTCTAATCAGCAAAAAACTGTCCTACAGAACAGAGAGTGAAAACAAGTCCAGTAGCAATGCATTTTCTGCCAGTTCTTGCTCATCTAGTTACTATAGTGACTAATACTTGTGTGTTATTTCAAAGTCCTGCTCTAGATGAGCAGATTAGAATGTCTGAAACTCTGATGAAGACTCATCCTTTGCATCATATGATGGAATTTTAGAACTACTTAAAGCGATGTTTCCTGTTAGTAGCAGTGGGTTTAGTATAGCTCACACTAAAGCATCTTACCTTGTGTTTGATGGATTTTGACCATATTTTCAGTGAAGCCTTGTGAAAGAAATTATGGACAACAATGTATAATTTACTTTAGAGTTTGACAAACAAATACAACAGACACAGAAGCAGCTAGACATATTTTTATGATACTTGTCTCCTGAGAGTTGGTGTTCATTACCTAACAAGTGCTTTCTTTGGAAATGCCAAAGGGATTGGTGTGTGTGATACAGTTCTGCTTGTTCTATATGAACATAAGATACCACTCAACAACATGTTTTGGATATCTTCAGATGGACCAAATCTTAAAATAGTTTGGAATCATATCCAAGATTACATGAAAAACAAAGGATTTCATGATATGATGCCATTTGTTCTATTGTAATTTACTTGTTGTTTTTGTGCATTCCATGCATGACTGATGGATCAAATCTTAAAATGGTTTGGAATCATATCCAAGATTACATGAAAAACAAAGGATTTCATGATATGATGCCATTTGTTCTATTGTAATTTACTTGTTGTTCTTGTGCATTCCATGCAATACTGATGGACCATATCTTAAAATAGTTTGGAATCATATCCAAGATTACATGAAAAGCAAAGGATTTCATGATATGATGCCATTTGTTCTATTGTAATTTACATGTTGTTCTTGTGCATTCCATGCAATACTGATGGACCATATCTTAAAATAGTTTGGAATCATATCCAAGATTACATGAAAAGCAAAGGATTTCATGATATAATGCCATTTGTTCTATTGTAATTTACATGTTGTTCTTGTGCATTCCATGCAATACTGATGGATCAAATCTTAAAATGGTTTGGAATCATATCCAAGATTACATGAAAAACAAAGGATTTCATGATATGATGCCATTTGTTCTATTGTAATTTACATGTTGTTTTTGTGCATTCCACGCATGACTGATGGACCATATCTTAAAATAGTTTGGAATCATATCCAAGATTACATGAAAAGCAAAGGATTTCATGATATGATGCCATTTGTTCTATTGTAATTTACATGTTGTTCTTGTGCATTCCATGCAATACTGATGGACCATATCTTAAAATAGTTTGGAATCATATCCAAGATTTCATGATATGATGCTATTTGTTTGATGGTAATTTACATGTTGTCCTTGTGCATTCCATGAATGACTGAGCAAGTAGGTATAAGAAGATGAACAACTCTGCATAGATTTATTTTATTGGTTTAACTCTTTCAGGATGGGCTCAGTCCCTGGGGCCGACCTCATAACCATTTTATGCTTGTTATT